AAACCATTTCAGGTGACTACCTCTTGAAGCTCATGGAGAGAATGCCAAGAGTGTGCAAAGCAGTAATCAGAGCAAAGGGTGGCTATTTTGAAGAAACTAGAATATAAAACATGTTTTCAGTTATTTCACCTTTTTTTGTTAAGTACATAACTCCACATGTGTTCATTCATAGTTTTGATGCCTTCAGTGAGAATCTACAATGTAAATAGTCATGAAAATAAAGAAAACGCATTGAATGAGAAGGTGTGTCCAAACTTTTGGCCTGTACTGTATATATATATATATATATATAGATAGATATGGAGGTGTGATTTGTTCACCTGTTTGTCTGAAGAAGGGCAGTGACCCGAAACGTCACATGTTGTGATGCTTCATTAAAAACTGGCTTTTGGAGCTATCTCTGGTGTGCAGACTTTATTCCTTTTATTCATTAGACCTTTTTTGTCTGGCACCCAGTACTTAGTTTTTTTGGGATGTGCGTGCTTTTCTCAGTTTTTTTCATTACTTCTTTTTTGTAACATTCTTGGAGAGTATATTGGCGTTACTACCAAAAGGAATGACAGCTCAAACTACAAAAATAAAAGTATTCCCACAGAAAACAGCATGTAGTTAACTTCTTGAGTACCTGTGACCTCATACTTTGTCATGGAAAAAAAACCTTTGAAGTTGTGTTGTTTTTCAGTTTTTGGGGAGCACTGGTGTTTTAACAATGAAGTCAGTGTCTGTTAAATAACACCAGTGAGATCAACATTAAGATAATAGCATGAGTTTAGTGTCATCCAAATCTAATTTCCTGACTTTTATGTATCATCAATAGGATGAGGTCATTTGCAATAACAAAAGCTCAGATAAAGATCAATGACAGGTACAGGAAAGTGTCTTCTTTTCAGACAGTGCACAGTCAGTGAAACACATCATAATCTTAATTGCCTTACCAAGATTTGGTGAGTCATGAAACAAAAAGAACAATCAAATCAGAGCTCGGAGCCAGGTGAAGACAAAGATGTGTACAATTTCGTCTCAGACTTGAGATGCATTGTCCCGATGAGAAATTTATACACAATTTTTGTCGGACAAAGAAAAGGCAATTTGCCCTCCTCCTCCCCATGGGACACCCTAAGCGGCTGCCTATGTTGTCCATGAAAAGATCTGCCACTGTCAGGGTGGGAACGCCTTAGCTATCAAGAATACATTACGAATATGAATCATTGTCATGGACAATTATCCGAAATCTCATCATAAATTTACTTTATAGAGTTCAGTTTAAGGGTCTTCGTTTGGCAGCTAGTGTAGTATTGATCAGTTGTAATCAATCAGACTATATTTCATCAAATATAGACATGGTAGTACTGGCTGGAAGAGCAACTGACAGAAATCAGGGAATATTGACGTATTTAAAACATTCTGTTATTTAATGAAAACACACACGAGAAATACAGTACCACACACACATGAACACAGAGTCATTCCATCCTTGAGGAATGAGGAAAAGGACATCCTGTGGTGCTTCCCCTGAGCTGTATAGATGGAAACTCCCACCCCACAACAACAGGAACGGGCAGGCTGCCCCGCCACATCGGCCAACTGTTCTCCACTTTACAAATCACTCCTATTACTCCTGTTTGCACAGTAGCTTAGTGCTCACAGGCACATGGTCTGGAAAATAAACATCCACCAGAATTATTTAGTTTGGGGCAGATAATTACATTGACTACATATCACCTGACTTCTATTAATTATTGTTGTTTGACACTATAGCCCTGAAAACAGCCTTAACATTTGGCCTCACTAACTTGAATTTAAACAGCCTGTAGGTTAAACACTGAATTGCTATGTGGAACACGGAGTAATCTCAGATGCTTAGGATAGGTGTTAAATTGTTGCTCAGGACAGAAACTTTGGATGGTGGATGCTGCCATCTAGTGTACAACACTGTACTTGACTCCATGGATCAGATGGCATTTGGAGCCATGGGTCTAAACCATGCACTTTACCATCATAAATGAGAAATGATAAGATAATGATAGATGGTGGTTAAATAATTTATTTTTAAACATTACATTTACAAGATTTACATTCTTAATGTGGGTAAATAAGATTTTTAATTCTATACACATTAAGGCTGTGGTTCCCAGCCCTGTCCTATTAAATGAACTCAAGTTCCCCTTTAGCAACACAACCTGTAATGTCCCAGATGTGATCATTTGAATTGATTTAAAATGGGATGTTATTTAACACTATTAGCAATATTTTGTCATACATTGTTGAATTGAACTGTCAATGTTTAGATTGGTTGGCTCAAGATATATATATTTACACAAAATAACTAATTGAGTTGGAATCATTTGCCGACAGCTTGGTCCCCCCCAGTTCAAAAATCCCATCTGCGCCCCTGGTATGGTCGTAGTCTGTTTGTGCTTAGAAGGGATTCTAAGATGAGGTAACTGTGGAGAGAATGAATGTGAAGGAGTCTGTGTGAAAGAACCAGAGTGTGTTCAGCATGGGAGGCTACCTGTCCAAAGAGAGTGAGGGAGGCAGAAATAATCAGGGCCAGAATGACGAAAAGAAATAAATGTGAGGAAGTAGGTAAGACAAGATATGTCGGACAGGAAGCTAGGGAGGACAAGTCGGCCAGGAAGCATGAGGAATATTGCTGGTGTAAAGACCAGATGAAGAATCTGGCCTTCGTGGCAACATTTATTAACTGTACTGCTGAAATTGAAAGGAAATCTGAGAAAACTGAGATGATCATAAATGCAGCAATGAGATTTCTGAATGTTGTGGGTGTTTCTGCAGTAGGTGTACAGCAGCATTTGAGAGAAGCTTTTAGGCTCTGTCAAACAACCGAGAAATAGAAAATTTACAATAGAATGGAAAATGGATGGGAAGGGCTTATTATCATTATTATTATTATTATTATTAGGAGTAGTAGTAGTAGAATTTTTTATGGTAAGTGGGGACTTCAGGGTAAATAACGTAGGTGGCGGTAATGCAACTTTGTGGATGCCAACCGCCATTAAACACCAAAGAAGATGATGGGACAAGTAGCAACCAACGAAGAAGAAGTTGAAGCCTCTGCAAGCTAACGCTATGTTTTTAGCATTATGACCATATCAATGTAGGGCTGGCTCGGCAACTGTGGAGCTAATACCAAATAAACCGGCTGCACCTTAATAAATGAAAGATAGCCGTCCACAGCCCGTGTTCTCCAGTTAGCAATTTGTTTTGTCTTTTTCTCTTTTTGAACTGGGAGCTGAGCGAACTAACGTTAGCCTTCTTCAGCTAAGGCTCACTCTGCTAATTCAACAGTGGCCGGAAACAAAAAGAGTGACACTGTCAGCAGGGTAAGAGTCGAAATGTACCTGTTATTCTGGTTCACAGAAGACTGAAACAGCTTAGTATTTGTTCAGGTTATATCATATTGACTATTTGGGGTTGTTAAGTCACTTCCGATATCGGGTGAACAGCTAATTACACCAAACTTCATTAAAAGTTCGTTAATGTTATTGTGTCCCTTGGTTACCACTAAATGTACGTACATACAGTAATACAGCAGACATGTCTACTGGTACCCTGGTTTAAGTGGCACGCATACGGTTAACATACTATAACGCCACTGAATATGAAATAAAAACGAACACGAATCTTATGTTCACGCACTAAAAAGCTGATCACACAGTAGTAACAATGTTTATGTATTATCTTCTATTTTAGTGTAGTATTTGATGTAACAAGTTTTTTAATTCATTCTTAACACATTTATACGTATAATACCATTTACCCACAATAGATTTAATTGTCTAGAATCTCTTTTATTATTTGTTATTCATGTACTTTTGATATTAGTCTATTAAATGTCATTGTCAGTGAAAATGTCTATCTCTGTTGCCCTGACCCCAAAACAATGTCTTCCAATAGCATGTTACTGCTGAGTAATTGTTCACAGAAGATTAACAAAACCAGCAAAAGTGTATGCAAATCAATTTAAGCATTTTTGCTTGCTTATCAAATTGTTGCTGATACATCTTCTGCCATCTGTCTGTTTGCAGACATGGCCAGAACCACAGGAGGGATCTGGGATCTGAGGACACAGACAGTTCAGGTAGAGCTGAGGAGTGTTAAGGAGTGACAGGGGGCTCCAGGGCTCATGTCTACTCCACAAACACTCACACCCCTTGACTCTGGCTGTGGAGAACACCTCAGCATGGTGAAGACAGTAAAGATGGAGCTCCTCAGAGCGCTTGTCAGCGAGTGTTTGTCTGCAGCTGCCGAGGAGATCTTCAAGATTGTAGAAAGAACCATTGTGGAATATGAAAAGGAAATGTCCTGTTCAAAGTGGGTGGTGGACAGCCACCGCAGACTGCTGGATGCTGCCAAGTCCCATAGTGAAGGTCAGTTTATCAGAAGTTTGCTTTCTCTAAAGGAAATCATGAGATGGATGAAAATGTCTGAGGTTTGAAGTTGTCCATAATAGTAGTCATTATCAGTTTAGCAGTAGAAGTATTTTACTTTAGTCAGTGATACTCTTGTGGTGGGCAGGATGCTGATTTCTGCAAATGGTGTTGTATTCACAAGCTAAGTTTGAAGTAGAGAAGTCTATTTCTCTAGTCTGTGCATTTGACTGGGATGCATCAGTCTGTCAGATTTTCAGACAGTCCTCACTTTACTGCATTTTCATGCAGACATTTGAAAAAGGTTTTTGGATGTCAGCTAATTCATTTGGGTGGACTATGCAAATGTGTCATACATTAAGAGAACACTGCAATATGAGGTTAGTGGAGCTCATTTGAATTAAAAAAAACACTAGTGTAAACTGTTGCATAATAAAAACATTAGGAGCGCATGTTATATAAGTTTGTTATGTTTTGTTTGTTTTTTTGGTGGAATTAATTAAGTAACTTTTTATTTGTGCGACAATCCTCCTGATACAGTAAACTTCGAGAGGTTGCATATCTATTCTTACTAAACGTGACACACTAGACAGAGTCACACGATGCAGCCAGCAGTAAAATCTGAAATAAGCACGTCTTTTCCCATGTTTTTTCACTGTTATTCTGGCAGCTTGGGAATTAAGACTATTCCCAGCAAACAGACAGAGCCAGGCAGACTGTTCAGAGAGCTCAAAATCTCAGAAGCCATTGTGCTAATGCTAACACTTTCAAGACCCTTCTTATAAATTGTAGTTATTTTGTGCAAAGAGCCAGTTAAATACACAGACACAGGACATAGCCAATGTGACGTCACCCATTGGTTTGGGGACTCCTGTTTTAAAGCCTTGAGTTAGGCTTTTTGTCCATCGCCATCTTGGATTTTTAGAGCCAGAGGTGACCATATTTGGATGAGAAGGTTGAGCTAACCCAAATGCTAGCTGTTAGCTTGTTTAGCACAGTGCATATACAGCTATGGTTAACTATGATAATGCAAATGCTTATTTTGGCTAGCGAAAAATTTAACACCATTGGACCAAAATGAATTCACTGGAAAAACTGAATATCCGACTCCTGAGAGGGTCTTTTAGTACAACAAGATGCTGAGCAATGCTTTTTCTAGAGACTTTTTTGGTGACCAGAATGTTACTAACCAACATTGCTGTGGTAATGACTTGTCAGTGGATGGCACTAGGGATGGATATCATTAAGATTTTAACGACACTGCTGCTCCTCCTGATACTGCTTACCAATCCGGTACTTTAACTGTACCCTTATCGGTTCCTCTGGGAGGGTTTTAAGAGAAAATGAAACAAAATAAGAACTAAATTAACACTGCTTTATTTTCTATGTATGTTAGTACAATATAAAAATTAACATTCTGCTACAAAATTGTTTAGATTTTCATTTCAGTTTTCAATTTTATTTATAAAACCCAATATCACAAATCACAATTTGCCTCAGTGGGCTTTACAGCATGCGCCATCTCTTTCTCCTTTAGACCTTCACAGCAAATAAGGAAGAACTCCCCCCCAGAAACCCTTTCAAAGGTGAAAAAATGTTGGAAACCTGAATGAAATACTATCATAGACTTTAGCATACCGTCGGTGGATGGGGTAATGGGAGATGAATTACAAGCTCGGCGGTCAAAAATGGTGCCTTTGTGTGTGTGTGTGTGTGTGTGTGTGTGACACAGAGTGGCAGAACTGGCCCCACCCCATGCACATGCAGCAGGCTGTGGGGCTCCAGCACAGAGAGTTGTCCTCTGGGTTGAATAGCAAAAATGCATTAGTGATGAATGTCTTAATGTTATTGCAAATTAAAAACGCAGCTGGTTACAGATAAAAACTGTACAAGGTAACATTTATGTAACCTAAAAAAACAAGAAACAAGAAATAGCCTATATCTTCTGCATTTCTCCAGTAGCGATAGCAGAAGCATCAACATTGTAACTTATAAATACTATAGTCTTTAATAATTCAGTCTCGGGGCCCGTTAATACCAGGTTTTGGTACCCATTCCTAGACAGCACACACCTGTCACTAACAGCAACTGTGCCCTTAATTATGGATAATTTTAAGCCTTAATATAATTTACATGGTTGAGTTATATAAAAAGTCACCCCCTGTATAGTTGTCATGAACACGTACCAAACCTGTTTTTTTGTACCAGGCTGTAAACATGTTTATTTCTGCTTTAAAGTTGGACATTGTAACATGGGGGTCTATGGGGATTGACTTGCTCTTGGAGCCAGGCCCAAGTGGCCATTAGAGGAGCTGCAGTTTATTTGCACTTCTGCATTGGCTTCATTTTTCAACCCCAGAGGTTGTTGCTTGGTTAAATATTATGGAATGCAACTTTTAGTCAAATACAGTATACTCAAAGACATTAAGTTTTGGGGTTTGTTGTTGGAAATGGGCAAACATTTGTGTAAGTATGAAAACAAAGAGTTCTGGTGTATCAGTTTACACAATAAAGGGGTATTCCACTGCTTTGGTATTGCAGTTCCATAAGGTTGGATACTTATGAGATAATAATAATAATGATCAATAGCAACAGAGACTGTCTGCCTTTTGAATAAATGTTATTTTTTCCTTTGCTTCAGACTCTCTCCAAGTGTCTGCCACAGATGTGAAGTTGCAGCCTGGTCAGCATCAGCCTGCTGCCAGTGTGAACGTCAGCGTGTGCTGGGAGGAACCAGAAAACACCTTGTCAGAGCCAATAGAACCCTGTCCCAGCACGAATAACACTCATCACCCTGCCAGTGAAACTGATCAAAGTGATCAGGAGATACTGGTTGATATTGAAGATGATGATGATGTGAAGCAAGAGTGTGACCTGAACATGCCTTTGAAAATCCTCAAAGTGAAGAAACCATTCAAATGTCCTGTTTGCTTCAGTGGTTTTTCTTCCAAAAAGACGATGGTACGACACATCAAAAAGCATCCAGAGGACAATTCGTCACGTTACCAGTGCCAGTTCTGTGAGCTCTACTTCTGCCACAAGTCTGAATTCATCATTCACACCAGAACACACAAAGGCACCAAACCATACAAGTGTCAGGACTGTGAGAAAAGCTTCGACCAGAGGGGTAGTCTACTCATTCACAGACAAAAACACTCTGAGCAGAAATCATATCAGTGTTTTAGTGAAAAGGTGGATGCAGAAACCTGCCTCAGATCAGTGACACTTGGCAGTAAAATTGAAAAAGAGCTGGACTGCAGACAGGATAATTCAGGCATTAAGACATTTCCACTGACTATCACTCCCTTTGATAAAAGTGAGTTTGATCAGGAGTCTCTTCAGCCCCTGTGTCTTTACCAAATCCAGACTGTTGCTGATATAGATAAAGACTCTTCAGCAGTTACAGTTGATCACATTAAAACCGAGCTGGCTGAAGCTGATGGTGGAATATCAGACAGTACCACAGAGGATCAGTTGACCCTTTCAGTGAATTCAGGTGAACAGGCTGAAGGTGAGACAGAGCCAAAACATATCAACATAAAAAACATCCTGCCAAGACGACCTTCAGGAAAATCCACAGAGCTCATCATTCAGTTTGAAGCAGGGACAGCGCAGAAACCTTACAAGTGTCCTTGTTGCACCAAATGTTTCTCCTTGACTAAGACTTTAATCAGACACGTAAGGATCCACACAGAGGACAAATCATACCAGTGCCAGTTTTGTGGGAGGAACTTCTGTCAGAAGTCAGACCTGGTAAATCATACGAGGATACACACAGGAGAGAGACCATATCAGTGCAAAGTATGTCACAAATCATTCGCACAGAAAGGCAACCTGGTGGTTCACATGAGGAAACATACAGGAAGTAAACTGTTAACAGTGCCACAAGTGCAGCTGTAGCTTTTGTCAGAGGTCATCTTTTGACTGTCACATGTCAAGCCACAGATAGAGGAGTTTACGGCCTTGTCATAAGGCTGGGATTTACACCTCAATAATTTTTTTTGGTACTGAGTAAAATGTGTCTGTAGCAAGTGAAGCACTGAAAGCTGGAATTGAATGTCTGTTCAGAATCATAATCTTGTTTACTTGTTCTTTGTTCATATAGTTCTGATTTAAACAAAAAGCTTGCCACTTGAAACAAACTCACCATGAGTTCCATTAGTACAGTCCCAGCCATATAAAATGGCTGTTCCTAGCCAGAGGCTATCTGGCTGCCACCCGGCTGGGATCCAACTTCCAGCCACTGGTAGCCCTCCCCTCTTCCTCTTTCCTGACAAGGTGTGTCTAGATTCCACAGTAAACACGCCCATTCAAGCAACATTCCTTTAACTAGTTTAGGCTATTATTTGTATAGTATGTTTCTTTCTTCTTTCTTCTTGTTGACTTAAGCAAGGTTTATATATGCAGCAGTGTCCCTGGAGTGAGGTTGGCGTGTCAAAAAATTCTGTCTGTTCTCGCACAAACCCATTACTTTCAATGTAGACAGGCATCATACGCGCTCACAACCCAAAGCGACGCGCTTGTTTTTTCATCCAGCGCACAGCTCCACGGACCTGCTTCTCCCTCCGATGTTGTGTCAGATCCCAGTTCCCCCTCGGGCTGTGTCTCTACGGCTGTTTCCCATGGAGCTCTGACCCGTTTGAAAGGCGAAGGAAGCCCATACTGTATGTGGAAAGACTTCGCTTCCAAGATGTAGAATGTGTATTATAGAAGAGAAACACGCATTTCAGGACCGCTGACTTGTATCACCAGAACAGACATGTCCTGTGATTTTCAGCCACCTTGGTCTCGAAAAACCCCAGGGAAAACCCTGTTACTGCGTGTGCTGCACTTGCAGTTCCACATGGTCAAGGGAATACTGGCCAAGCAGTTCAGCCTGTACAGACATCTGTACAACTGTTTATTAAGAGACCACAGGGACTAGGCTTAGGCGGTATCTAATTTTTCATATCTTCCTGAAATTTCACCACAGTGTTCACTTTATGACTGTATGGGTGTGCGGTGCTAACCCCCTTGACCAGTGAGTTCACTACTTCCCACAAGCTCTCTTAGCCTTTTCAGACTAATAAATACATATAGAAACTCACAAAATGAAAAGTAATATTCTCACACTTATTTTGTTTTTTAACCAGAAATACAACTGTATACTTTTTGAAATCAGGTTTCTCTCGGTCACGGAACTTACGGAACAAGACTGGCTTAATTGCCTCATTTACTCATTGTAAAACACACCACATTCAAACTCAACAGAAACAAAAAAAAAAACTCACCCAAACCGTCTTTGTTAGTTATCTAGTAAGTCCAATGTTGCAGCAATCACCAACTCCAATTTGATAAACCCTCAATTTACCGAGTTACATGTAAAAAACATGCTGTTTTCCACCCTGGCCTTTGCAATTCTAGGTTCTATGTTCCCCGATCAGGGAATATAGGGATGACCCCCTTAAATCAACTTAATACATGTTTTTTCTACATTTCCGGCATCCTCTTCCCACTTCATTCGATCAGGAGAGAGAATTCCACAAATTTATCTTATGTTTGAGTGGTGAGACTGAGACCCATGTTACTGACCAAACACAAAGCTATCAGTGATGACTGTTAGAATGTACAGCGATTTAACATTCAATATAACATGTACATCACCGTAAATACCTGAGTTTGCTGTTGACTGCTCTAGTGGAGGCATGTGTAAGGAACACCGGACGGCACTTGTTCAGAAGACTCCATTCACAAATATCCGAATGGGACTGAGCTCGAAATGCGACGATGCTGGTGTGTATTTCAAAAGCGCTGTCAATCACAAAGGGGTTCAGCCTTTTAGACAGTTCCTCCAATCATCATGCATACACTGAGCGTCCTCTCCCGCCTACCGCTCCATTAAGTCCCAGGGAAGCTGAGCCTCCCTGGAAGTGATGATTTTGTTGCATTTATCCAATGACCGTCTCGCTTTGCTGCATGAAAAAAAACCTGCTCAGCGCTGTCTCAAAAATATGTCAAGGTAAAAAGTTACCTCCATTTCCAACAAGAGATTGGCTAGCATGAATTCAATGCCAGACTGAATGAATTAAGTGAAATGAAATGGCAGTCAGATCTGGTTAACAAGGTACCCCATGTTGAGATTGTTTTATGTTTCAAAGGTTAAGAATCAATGTTCAATCTGACAATTTACCCACTTAAGAAAGTAATTTATTGAGGCAAAGTTCTTGTACTGCTTAGTCAGAAACCAACATCATGTCATTGTGGGTCCTAGTGGTTGTACAGTATGGTTTATGAGACTTTACCACTGGCATTTTCTTCATACTATTCTTAATGTCATTTTATTACTTTCTGATGAACCCAGTGTGTTCACCAAGGCTCACTCTGATCACACACACATGCACACAAACAACAACACAGTGAAGTCCAACATAGGGTGGAAACTGTGATATTAGATAAAGTAATGGCAGATAATTTAGTGCCAAAAGAAACCAGTGTAGCAGCACCTTGTGTTCAGCCTTGAGATTACTTTTCTGTAAAAGCACTGTCTTTGTGGAAAGAGTAGAGATGGAATTATTGATTTTTGTGCAGCGTGTATTATTATTTTATGAATTCCACCGAGTTTTAGGAATCTATATTGTATTCAAAAATTTGTATTTATTATAAAGTTGTAAAATTGGCTGTGTATTGGAATAATTTTATTTTGTGAGAATTACGGAATTATGCTTCTTTTTTTTTTACATGAAATATCATAATTACAGTGTAAAAGCAATCTACTGTCTCAGAGCATTTGTTTAATGTGTTGTAAGGAGAGCTATTGTGTATACAAGCTGATGGCAAAGAATTTGTCACCTGTACTTCATCAGTTAGTAAGTTAATTTGACACTTGATGTTTTGGCTTGTGGTTTATTTGGTTTTATATTGTAGGAAGAATCAAAATATGATCTTTTACAATCTTGTCACACCTTTTCACATTGATTTTTAGTAGTCATACGAGTTTATGACTTTTATTTGATAGTAATGAAAGAAGCATCATACTTGTCTGCAGTTAGACACGCACTGGCACTCCTAGACTGTCCTGTAGCAGCTCTTCTCTGCTCCTGTGGCAGCTCGACTCCTCTCCTCACCATGGATGCATTAAGAGAATTCTGGTGGTGTTGCTGTCTTGTGTGTGAAAAAAAAATTGGATGACAAGAGACTTGTTGAGGTCGAGAAATATCCCAAGCTAAACAACCGATCATCACCCAATCATTATTTAGACAATGGCCAAGAAGATATTGCCTGGCAAAACATAGCTCTGGAAATCTGCTGTTCAAGTGAGAAAACAAGTTTAATAAGGGGCTCTCCACATATGATTTTACGTTAATGCAGATGTGAGAGAGGTACAGATCTTTCAGTAAAAGTAGTAATAAGTTTGTGTGGTCGTCTGTTAATGAGCTGCAGTGCGACGCATCCGTTGTGTGCAAGGGGCAGCACTTGACGCGCATCACATGACGCACGCCGGTTTGTTTTCAGCTTTACAGCTATCTGTGTAAGTAATGCTACCTGGCTTCATGGCTACCTCTCAACATTACAAACAGAATCTACAGGAATACATTAAATTCATAAGACTCCAAATGTGCTTTGAAAAAATCAGGACAGTAGAATGTCACAGTGTATTCTTCATTTGATATTGAGCCAGAGTGCACAATACCAGGGCCCCAAAACTGAAGCACCTAAATAGAATTGAACCGTCATCACCTGTGCTTCTCCTACCGTGACCGTGTCAAATGGTGAATGGACTTGCATTTGTGTAGCACCATAGTCTTCTAACCATCCAAAATGCTTTTACACTACATGCCATTCTCACACATGTCTACTGTACAAGGTGCCACTTGCTCATAACTTACTTCAACTTCATCAGACTGGTGTGGCTGATGTTTTGATTCATAGCCGACCTGCTCTACCTCCTGAACCACAGCTGCCCATCAATCTTTTGTGGAGAAAAGCCTACTGATGTAAAATCTACTTTTTGATAAATTAAAGCTAACAAATTTCAGTTTGAACTTTCTGTGGAACACAAGTCTGAGGTAGTTGCATGAGTTAGCATCAAACTCTGCAAGATGAACCAGTGGAGACTGGAGGGAGGACAGTGGGCACTACGTTTCCAAATGTTAACGCAGCCATGTTAACCTGCAATGCTTTTTTGAATATGAAAAACAAGGTCTGTTCTACAACAAGAAATAAATGTTGTAAAAATATCATAGAAAGCATTAAATTAAACTTTCTCGTACATGTAGACTCTCTCTTAAAACACTAATTTGATGTTTTTAAACTTATAAGTAAACTGTTGAAGCTCCTTGAAAATCATTGCTTCTTTTCATGTTTTGCAAGTCAGAACCTTATAATTCCAAGCAGAAAGTGAGTTTTTAGGATTTAATTAGAAGGTTCTATCTGCATTTGACCTGTCCCTAAAACCCCCATTGACAAAGCTGACAGATTTTGATATTTTACATTTGGAATAACTTTAAGATGTCTGTCATTTTCATATATGAAAGAGACTTGTTCCTTATATCATTTTTGCCATTTGGAATGCAAAAACTTGGAAGCTTAATATCTCAAAAACCACTCAGAACGCAGATAAAACCCTATAATTCTAAGGTTAGCAGTCTCCTGATCAAAGGTAAGAATCTAATATTTTCTGTTTGTTATGATGTTTTGGTTTTGTTTTCAGTGTAATTTCATGTTCTTTACTCTTTATTATATCTACTGCCCCAAAGAGACAAATAGAAGTACAAAGTACAGTTTATTCACAACTACTAACCTGTTAAACAAGAGAAAGGAGAAAAAGTGGGGACTCCTTACCTCTGAAATGGTCCTGAGGTCTGAATATGTGTCAATTTCTCCATTATTTATTATCCTTTTGTAATGATGGGTACTGAAACCTGGTATTAAACTAGCCCCGGGGCTAAATTATCAAAAACTGTAGTATTGATAAGCTCCGACGTTATTGGTTCTTATATCAGTACTTTTAAACATTTTGGTTTAATTCATGATCATCCTGCAGCCTCTCACCTGCACTCTGTGCGGAGGCTGAACTGCTCCACATACACACACACATCCACACACACTTACACAACACGGAGTAAAGTCAGCGAACAGCAGAGAGGCTGCAGTTGAAACAAAGTGATAATAACGTGAAAATGGAAAGAGTTGATGCCAGCTACGCTCAATATTGTAAGTAGGGATGGGTATCGTTAAGATTTTAACTCTTATCGATACTGCTTATTGATCCGGTATTTTAACGGTACTCTTATCGATACTTTTTGAGGAAGAAAAAAACAAGAACATAAATTGCTTTATTTTCTCAATTCTCATTATGCAATAAAATAGTTTTTAACAAAACATTTTACAACTTGAAATATAAAATACATAAAATAATAGTGTTGTCATGGTACCAAAATTGGGACCCATGGTACGATACCAATGAAAGTATCACGGTTCTGAGTAGTATCACAATACCACAGCAAGAATGAGGCAGATGTGCCTTTTGTCATTTATAAAAAGATAAATCACTTTTCTATAGTACATCAATGATATTTCAGTGGAATAAATTACTTACCGACTTATTCATACTTCAAAAACAGCATCAATAAGTGATTAACATAGGGGGGATCAAAATAAAATAAATAAATGAAATAAAAATCAACCAGCCACCCTCCTCCCCTGACAAGTAAAGAACAGTCCCTTCATAAGTAAAGAACAGTCCCTAAAGTGCGCTGAGGTTTGTGGGCCGTTACCTGCCACAAAGAGTAATGTGAACCGCTTGTTTCCCCTCTGACATGCCACATACCTGTGTGCCGCCACGGCTTGGCTGTTCAGGTACTTCTGGACAGTCATGACACCAACAAAGAGGAAAATACTGGACCTGGAGCCAGGCTTCTCCGTCGCCGTTAAGCCGTTATCTTGCGCCGCGGAGCACTATGGCCGCCGTATTTGACAGGAATAAGTATTCCTGTGTGTGTCTGTGACCCCCGTTCAACCCACAACCGACAGGATTCTGCTGCTGGTTGAAATCTGTACTCGCACAGCGTGCTCCTGAATGATTTCTTTTATTTGCACAAAACTATTTTTAGTCGCAAATGCAGTAAAATGCTCGCACCGTAGAGCTCTGTGGAAAACAAATCACTGTAGCATATATAAACAAATCTAGCCTACAAGTAAAAATATTAGGTATTCTAGGTATGTTAGGTATTCTAGGTATTTTATATGGTGAACATTAATCACTATGGATATATAGACCAGAGGGGGGGAAATCCCACGCACCCAGCCCAGGCTATAATTATGGTTATATTCATGTATTTAGAAGTATCTGAAAAATACACAAATAAAATCCCAAATCTGAAACCCAATTTAGTAAATAGGGTCGCAAAATAGCTAATGGTTATTAACTCCATGTGTTGGCTGCTAGCATAATGTTACAAACCTGGACTGGATGTAGATGAACTAGCTGTGCTAGGGCAGTCAAACACTGTACATCTTTCTGTCTGAATATGATGCACTTTCGCAAGGTGTTTTGACAAATTACTAGTGTTGCCGCCCTTACACGCAAAACATTTGTCACACTTGTGACAACGCGCTGTGTCTGCATCAACTCTTGTAATGTAAAGCCACACTTTTGACCGTTTGGCTCTCTCCGCCATCGTTATCTATCTAAAGGTAGGATACGAGCTTGAGTTGGTGTATGCGCAACTGCTCCAGGACCGATAGGAGAACCGTTAAGGTCAGAGCTTATCAGTACTGTGGTCTTGAAGAATGTAGCCCCGGGGCTCGTTCAGTACCGGAGTTTGGTACTAGCCCAGATGCTCAGACCCTTGCTCC